ATTTTACTTGTCACAATTTCCTTCGTTATCGTTAAAATATAAATCATGAGTAGCCTGCAGAAATAGTTGTTGAAGAGCATGCTTTGTATTTGAAAGGAGCCTGACATTAAGGAACGCTGCCTCCAAGTAAATAAATTCAATTCGTAAGCGTTCGTATCGTCAGCTCGTGCTCTCATGTATAATTCACTAGGATTTTTTTCCAAACGGAAGCGTGCATTTTGTACTTTGTACCACGTATAATAAGTAGCCTAGATATTTTGTACTAGCTTAACCCGTTCAATTTATATTCTCCAAATATAACTCCAATAATCTTTCCAGTCTTTTTAATGTATCATAACTTGTCGCTACTAAAACAATATTATCTGCATTAGGTATTGTTCATACTTTTTTCCTTCCATCCTTACTCATTTTTTCCTCCAAGTAAAAATATTTACTTTATATGATTTGTTTGAAATACAGTGTAAACTCTATAATCCGACACTTACGGGACTGAACATTTATCGGCGTTATAAAGAGTGGTCGTTAAATGGAGAAAAATAAAAGATATTATTTTACTATTCTATAATAATATGCATTTACCAATATAGTACACATTTTAAACACGAACATTATTATTCATACATTGCGTATAGCCTGTTATCTTCGTCTGATGTTTTTTGCTGCTCCAATATTTTAATTGTATTTTGATACGTATCTTACTCATATCTTGAGATACTGCTGGATCAATTTGATTATATAAAAAGTATTTTTTTAATAGTTTCGCTGCATCAAGTGCTTGTTTGATGCTTGGTGGAGGGACAGGATCGTCTTCTTCAACAACGTACACAGCTGCAGTTCTTATCTATTTCGGCAACTTAGAAAGTACTGCTTAATGATTTAAAATGCCGCATTGTTGTCGTTAAATAGAGTGAGCGTGACGCTATATAAATTGTAATATTGTATAAAAAACAATGTAAACCAACCAGAGTCAAGCAATTTCGACGTTTTAAGGAGTTTGTCGTTAAATCGACTGACGCTATAAAGAGTTTACACTGTATTTTGCATTTAGTATTTAAAATACAAAAGGGAAATCTATTTTGTATTTTACATTTGAGATAACAAATCAAAAAAGTGTTTGCATTTTGTATTTAAATACTTTTAGAAAACCATTTTGCACATCTCCTTAGTATCTATACATGCGTGCCTTGTTCCTTTTTTCATCCATAGTTTTGCTACTTCTCTATTCTTTACTCCCACCACCCCTTTCGTTTGTCTATATATCCCTATCATCTTTTCTATCACCTCTTCATTTAGTTTGTTTTTTAGCAAATGCATATTCACACTGGCAGACTAATCATGAGGTTTTAAGAAGCATATTGTTCGCTCTGTTTTCTAAAAAACATACTTTTTTGTTCTAATACTGTTCTTTGTCGAAATGCTTAAACAATTAACAATTTATTAAGGCAAACAGATACGCGGAAATTTTATACTCGAAAAGGACACTTAAAGGACAATCGCCGTCACCTTTGTGTGTAGGTTTCTTCTACAGATAGATAGGAAGAAACGTAGGGTATGAATATAAAGCCATTATAGTGGCATGATACGTAGATGGGCCTCTCGAACTATCGGTTTTCTTGTTCTTGTTGTACCGTGCATGGATTGAAAGACAGAGGGAACCGGTTCTTGTAATAGAAAGATACTTCGTAACATGGAACGAAAGGTAGGTAACTTAACGATAATCATAATCCGAGATGTTTTAAAACGAGTCACCTGGAAATAAATCAAAACAAAGAGGCCAAACGCGGGTTTATGTGATACGAAACGTTTATAATTCATTTAAAATATTCTTGTAAGTTTCAGAATGATGTTATTGTTATGGGTTACGATTTCGGAACAAACATGAAAACAATGCTAAAGACTTGGAGAAAATCTTAAAACTAATTGCTCATCATAAACGTTTACATAAGTTTTAGAGTTAATCGATAAATAATTAACAAAATACATTAACATAATACGCGGGGTTGTTATACCATCTTCAAAGTGTTTTGTACCAATGGTACATTTGGTTTTTAAGAAACCTAAACTTTTGGGCAGTCCCTCTGACCTATTGCTCTCTTCAGTATCCTTGCTGGAATCGCGGGATATATACACCCATTTAGAAAATCACAGCAGGGTCGAGCTTGGTCCAAAATTGACCCAAGGTTGTCCAATTTTGGACCAAGCATGGCAAACGCTTGGTTTGTCACATCGGTTTAAGACTGTTTGACAGGGGTAGTTAATGCCAATACTAATGAGCAAAATTAATCCGATTGATAGCAGATGTTACGCCAAGACATATAGACATAGTTAATCTTATTTACGTTTAAAAAACACTATCTGAAACATTCTGTGATATTAATTGACGAAATTGGTTAATAAAACACTTCACTTTTAATTTTTTTTTCAAATGTACAATTCTCTTTTATCAAGAATTATTTTAATAAAATTGCTTAGTGTAATAAACAACAATTGATTTTATAAAAATTTTGTTGGAAATTCCTATTTCATTGAATACCACTCACAATCAGTATATTGCGATGGCGAAACCGTCACTGTAACGAACTCTGGAACTGGAAGATTGATCGAGAATTGGTTCAGTATTGACAAGCCAATGCTTGGTTCCCCAATAATAGCGCAAATTTTGGCCTGTCGTCAACTCCGGTATTTTCTACATGGTTAGGAGGGAGATATATGATATGGGCGAAATGAAGACAAAAGAAAAATGAAGGATTATCTGTGGAATATTACTTCCCCAACATTTGCCTAAATAATCGAAGAAAACTATTCCACCACCCAGAATCAAACCGGTGACCGGTGGTTTAAATCTCTAGGAATCGAGCGGCATGACCTAGAAGTAGGGAGGACGCCGGTTTAATTTCGGGTCTGTCTGCTTTGGTCGAAATTTTTCTGTGGTTTCCTTGGATCAGTTAGGAAAATGCTGGGACAGTAATATTCCACAGATAATCTTTCATTCTCTTTTGTCTTCATTTTATCCGTCTCATCTTTCTCACCTGAACCATCACCCACTCATTCCCACGATTCCTGAAAGGATGCTGGCCTTTCGCCCTATCTTCCGGCGTAGTCCTGAGGGACGGCCCGCCCACCAGCATTGATGGCTGGTAGGAATGAAAGCCCAAAAGCTTTTTTTGACCTCTAAGCCATGGTAATTTTCAAAATTTAAACAATAAAATGTACCGGTCAGTTTTGTCCTATCGTTACCGTGACCTAGAGGTTATTTAGACCGTAGTTTACCATTCGATAGGACACCGATTCGATTTTCTGATTCAATTTTTTTTGTGCTTTCTTTGGATCATTTAGGCTGAAGTTAGAATAATACTGGAGATATAACATTTCATTTCTCTTCTACCGTATCTTCTTCAGTGTCATCTATCTCTCCCTAATCACCAGCCACCCAATCTCACAATTTTTAGAAGGAGGCCGAAGACCTACCTTGCGTAATGACTGCCGCCCAAAATGCTAAAACCTTTTTCTCTAAAGTTGACGTAAGGGTTTCGGTAATGACTTATTAAAATATATTATAAGGGAAGGGGATACAGTGCTAAAAAGTAATGACTCATATTCCTCCTATCTCAACTCTCATTTGAATTCGAAAACTGAAGAAATCACTTTCTATTATGCTCGCTGTAGGTATTGAAACTACAACGTGTTCAGTGCGTTTCCCGGCAAAACAAGTAAACCCAAACACACATTACAAACGTTGTGTTGTGGTTTTCTAGAATCGAATGCTATTGCATATTGCATAACCGGTAGGTACATCTGTCTACGTGTGTGGGTATATAGGCCAGTCGAACGACAAAACGACATTCCTTGCAAATGGCAAACACACGAGACCACAAACAAGCTAGAAATCGATATTACTTGCACATAACGTATTTGACGACTTTTTTCAACGTAGGTATTCCCGACAATGCGACGATGCAGCCGCGTCTACCCATTAAATCATTAATTATTGATTGCAATTCGAACTCGATCGCAGGGACTTGACGATCGTTTAGCCGAAGTTTTAGTAGTCAGACGTCTACGCCATCTAAACCACTTTTTATGAACGAAATAAAGGACAAACAAGCTTGACCAATTTTTGTTTTTCTTTCTGGGCACCATTTAGCTAAAAGGGAGACAATTAGGGTTGCCACCCGTACTTTATTATAAAGTATTGTAATTATACTGTATTATAAAGACTGTGCGTACGTTATACTTTACAAGACACATAAAGTAAGCAAAAATACTTTATTTAAGGCCTTAAGTAAACATCGTAATTTTGTAAGCGATTATTCGAAATTCAGAGTATTTTTACATCAATAATGTTGAATGTTGCGGGTGTGTTGCTGGCCTAGATTTTCCTAAGGAACACTTAAACCCTCTTCGATAAAAATTAATTTATCGAAGTCTATTTTTTAGATATAACGGCCGAATATTTTCTATCGGTGGTATTCTTCTTGGAGCAGTACGAGCAGTAAACGACTTATGTGATTTTTAACTTTTTAATAATCAACATACACTTAAACTAACACCAAAAAAAAACACTTAAAAATAANAATAAAAATGAACTTTTAGTTTACTTAAATCTTTGTTTGCCATGTTTAGAGGCTATTAATGTATTTAAGAGCGACAGCAATTTGTTACTGGCTGCTAGGTGTAACAAAAAATATGTTTTTAAAAACAAAAAATAAAATACTATAGTTTTATGCCGAGTACTTTCTTTTTTAACCTTTTAGTCGAGAAGTACTTTATGTAAAGCCTGAAAAGGTGGCAACCCTAGAGACAGTGGAAGACAGTTACTACAATAACTTCGCATTTCTTACAATTCTATAGTATAATTACGATATTATGTAACTTAACTTTATCGTCAGTTTGAATGATATGAGACTTCTCCATACCTAATAGATAGAGCTTTCTAACCGAATAAAGGCCTAATTTATCGAATAGAAGAACACTAAAAGCCCATTTTCTTTTATTTGCAGATGCGTCGTCTTCAAACGAAGCCGTTCATCTACAGCAACGGTTACGTAGTTTAAGTACGGAATTAGTGACCCTTAGAAACCGGTTACATGTGCAAGGTGGTCCAATTAAGAACTTTTCGGGACCCGCTGCGGCCCCGGCCGCCGTACAGCCCGCGGTACCGCCGCGTTCGACGCCATTGCTCGCACCCCCGGCTGTGATCCCGACCGAACCGCGGGTTACGTTTCCTATCGCGGGTGCCGACATAGAAGATCTTATTCATCTTCAAGGACCGCTCACCGAAGACGCCGTTATGAAATGTTTGCAAGCAAGGTTTGCAGCAACAAATTATTATGTAAGTATTGCAGGTTTCACTTATTTTGGTGAAAGATTCGATTCATAATTGTACAATTGTCATTCTCAAAACTGATTGCACACTCATCTATACTCCTTCGTGTCCTTCGCATTTCTCTAAAACTGAAACATTCCACACCCTTAAGTATTAATGTACATGCATATATCGGGGATCCTACAGTTTCTGCCGCATCTCGCATTTCCCCATTTCCCTTTTCCTCATCGTTCCTACTATTTTCTTTATCCATTTCAATACTGATCTTCCTCTGTTTCCTCTACTTGTTGGGGCATAATCCATACTTCTTTTGGCCATCTGTTTTCAGTCATTACGTGTCTATACCAAAGAAGTTGTCTTACTTCTATCTTGCTTAAATGATCCAAGAAAGAAAGAAATGATCCATTCCACCACCCAGAATCAAACCGGTGACCTATGGTTTTAGACCTCTTAGTACTGAGCGGCATGGCCTAGAGGTTTAGTCCAATACTTAACATTCGGGAGGATCCAGGTTCAATTCTGAGTCCGTCTGCCTTAGTCTAAGTTTTTCTGAGATTTGCTTGGATCACTTATGTAGATGCTGGGGCAGTAATATTCCACAGATAATCTTTCATTCTCACCCGAAACACACCCATTCCTACGATTCCTGAACGGAGGCTGAAGAGGGCCTCTCGCCTTACCTTCCGGCGTAGTCCGTAGGGACGGCCCGCCCTCCAACATTAGTGGCTGGTGGAAATGAAACACCCAAAAGTTTTTTTTTGACCTCTAGTTCATGGTAATTTTCAAAACTTAAACAATAGAACATACTGGTCAGTTTAGTGTACCTCTTTTTTCTAATTGTTGGAACATAATCCATACTTTTTAGGTCATCTGTTTTCTTCCATTTTCATAAGTCATTACGTGTTTATACCAAAGAAGTTGTCTTACTTATATCCTGCTTAAATGATCCAAGAAAGAAAGAAATGATCCATTCGACCACCCAGAATCAAACCGGTGACCTGTGGTTTTAGACCTCTTAGTACCGAGGGGCATGGCCTAGAGGTTTAGTCCAATGCTTAGTATTCGGGAGGACGCCGGTTCGATGCCGGGTCCGTCTGCCTTAGTCCAAGTTTTTCTGAGATTTGCTTGGATCACTTAAGTAGATGCTGGGGCAGTAATATTCCACAGATAATCTTTCATTCTCTTTTGTCTTCATTTTGTCCGTCTCATCTTTCTCACCCGAACCACCACCCACCCATTCCCACGATTCCTGAACGGAGGCTGAAGAGGGCCTCCCGCCTTACCTTCTGGCGTAGTCCGGAGGGACTGCCCGCCCACCAGCATTAGTGGCTGGTGGGAATGAAACACCTAAAAGTTTTTTTTTTGACATCTAGCCCATGGTAATTTTCAAAACTTAAACAATAGAACATACTGGTCAGTTTAGTGTACCTATAGTGGGGATTCTACATTTTCTGCCGCATCCCCCATTTCTCCATTTCTTCATTTTTACTCATTGTTACTACTATTTTCTTTATCCATTTCAATAGTGGTCTTCCTCTCTTTCTTCTAACTGTTGGGACATAATCCATACTTTTTTAGGACATCGGTTTCCTTTCATCTTCATAAGTCATTACATGTCTATATCAAAGAAGTTGTCTTACTTCTATCCTGTCCAGAATCAATTTTGTTCTTTTTAAACGTTTTTTATTTCTTGATTTTGTATATGTTCTAGTCTGGGCATTCCACTTGCTCTTCTAATATAATCCACCCCTACTACCTCTACTTTTTTCCTATTTTCGTCTGATAACTGGTGGCACTCTAATCCACTTGTTAATATAGACTCTACTATTGCTGTAGATGTCTATAGTGCCATTTTGGCATTTATCCTAATAAGATTTGACCAAAGCAACGAGTTGAAAATTTTCGTAGACATTCCTGATTATGTGTAACTACTAGAAAATACCCTTGCTTTATATCATACTCCCTACAGGCATTTACACTTACAAGCGACAAAAACAAAATTATAAATATACGTAAGTATATATTTGCCAACAGTAATCTAATGTAGGTCTTTATTTCTGCTTCCAATATGTATGTAAATAATCCTTCATGCCTCAGACGGAATTTTACCATCATATCTTACCCTTTTCCCATTACCTTCTGTAGCGCCCCCTCAAAACCTTTTTAAACAATGCGCAAAATCCCTCAAAAGCTTTCAATTTTCTGGATACCACGATTCGTAAATGAAGATTCGCAATTAATTATTACATATGGAGCAAAATCTCCACAAACTGATAAAACTTCAAAGTCATTACAAATAAACAGAGAACTTTGATGTACCAGAAAGTCGATACGACGAAAGGAACTTACGGGAAGTTTCAGGAAATAATCAAGAATGGTCCATCACTGTATAAATAAGTGACCAGTATCCGACGAGGTATAGATTAGTACAACTAAATTAACGGCACATTTTCATACAGAACTTTCAAAGAATCATTTTTTTATATAAGTAAATATATTATCAATTTTAGAATTATTCATACATTTACATGTAACTAAATTAAATCGAGGATGGACCAATTTAGTTGTATATTTTAACGAGGACTATATTTAAATATACGAGTTCTATTGAAAAATATCATTAGAATTCATTGATGTTATTATATATTATTTTTAATTACCTATATCACGTTATTGTTTTAATAAAGCTTTAATAAAATTGTATCAGTTTTTTAATAAAATAGAGGAATGTAGATATCTACTCAATTTTTTTAATATATTTACAACTACTATAGAATGAGAAAAATTACAATAAAACATATTCAAACGTCATTAAGAGTATAGTGCGGTAAGCGTGGGTGAAATGCCCTTCGGGAAAGTTGGGTCGATGTTTTTACTTTTCACATCACTAAGAGAAACTATTCCCTTAGTGATCACGCTCGTGTTCCCGTTAGTGTTTCAAATAAATTAATTAATTGAATTTTGAAAAAACTTTTTTTTCCTCTATAATGTAGCAAACTTTTTTTATTTTTTTTATGTATATGCTAGATACGCCAAAGATTCAAAGATTAATATATCGAAGTGATCTAAATTAAAAAAAAATCAAAAATAAAATAGCTGTCTATCACGATCTTTTGTTTATAAATACCTATGCTGTATAACATATATTTTTTCCAAAATTTTTACAAGGGTAGAACAAATTAATTGCCACCTATGTTTTAATATTTCAGAGAGCTAAGCAACTGAATCTTTTATAAATGTAGTATAACAATTAATATTAGGACGATAAATATAATATAATA